TCAGCTGGGATCGTCAGAGGCTTTTCAAAGCATTTTTTTCTGCAACCTCTTGGCCGAAGAGGTGGTAAAAAAAATGCTTTGAAAAGTCTCTATCGATCCCAGCTGAGTTGCCTGATCGGCAGAGGCTTTTCAAAGCATTAGGAAAAAATGCTTTGAAAAGTTAAAAAAAAAAAAAAGTTGGCCACGGCCACCCAATCACATAACACACACACACCCCTCCACGAAGCCATGCCCACAGAACCAGTAGTAACAAATTTTACATTTCACCCCTGGGGGGGAAGGCCCATTTTTCCCCCTCCTCAGGCTCCAGAACTTTCTAGTAGCCTGGGGAGGGCGAAAACAGCCTTCCCCCGCCGGAGGCTCTCCGGAAGCCAGAAATGGCCCGTTTGCCAACTTCCAGTGGGACCGTGGGGGTGAGGAAGGCTGTTTTTGCCCTCCCCAGGCTCCTAGAGTCTGGGAGAGAGCGAAAAACGGACCTACTGGGCCCACTGTCCCATCGCGTGCCAAAATTGGGGTAGCGCGAGGGGTTGCATGCACGGGGGGCAGGGTGCATAGAATTATGGGTGTGGGCACACATGAACGCGACCCCCCCCCACATTCCCCCCGCTTTTGGCATGCAATGGCAAAAAAGTTAGCCATCACTGGTATAATATCTCCTGCTCGAGCAGAGAGGTGGACTAGAAGACCTCCAAGGTCCCTTCCAACTCTATTATTCTGTATTGAGTTCCTTTCTGCGTTATGTTCTAACAGCTTTAACAGTAACAGAGTTGGAAAAGGGACCTTGGAGGTCATCTAGTCCAGCCCCCCTGCTCACTCAGGAGACCTGCACTAGGGATTCGAACCGCCGACCTTTCTGATCGACAAACTCAGTGTCTCTTAGCCACTGAGCCACCTAGTAAGATAGCACACCCTGCAACAAATTGATTGTCGGATGTCGGCAGGCAGAAACAATACGCACAGACAATTGCACTAAGAGGAATCCTAGCAGAAGTCAAACTTAAGAATTCACCATGATTTCATGCCACGCAGGCATTTCCTTAACCTGGAGCCTGCGGTGAGGGCTTCTTGTATATTTCTATTTTACAACAGATATGAAAGCATGCCAAGGCTACGTCAACTGTTGACTTTTTTTTTTTTTAACCTAACCGAAAAGCTCTTACTGTTTGCACATTTCCTCTTTAGCCAAGGACAAATGTTATTTTTTAAAAAAACAGTTTAAAACAGTTTTAACAGGGTCGTTTTTTCCCCCCAATTTTTCCTTACTGTTAAAGGAAGGAAATTGTTACATTGGTTCATTGGTTTCTTCCAAACTTGGGCTGTGCCCCCAAGATTGAAGGAGCCTGAGTGGTGTAGGAGGCTAATGCCTCCTACTAAGGCAGCATTTAACATTCCAGCTGCCTGCAATTACTGCGAGTTCAATTCTCACCAGGCTCAAAGTCGACTCAGCCTTCCATCCTTTCTAAGGTGGGTAAAATGAGGACCCGGTTTGTGGGGGCAATAAGCTGACTTTGTATAAAATATACAAAAGGATGAAGGCTATTGCTTAATGCATTGTAAGCCGCCCTGAGTCTCCGGAGAAGGGCGGCATATAAAAATAAATAAAATTAAATTAAAAAAAAAATAAAATTGGAAAAGTTGAAGCAAGGGATTGTAATTCTCACCGGCCGGAGTTTACAAGCGAAGGAACCACATGGAGCTGGAGAAAAAATGTGCAGAGTCAGCTATCATGTCTTAATGATCCCTTAAGCGTTTTCTTCAAAAGGAGAACTGGGGTAATTGCTAAACGAGAGAACAGAAGCCAAGCTACGTCTGGTGAACCATAAATGAATGCGGTGTGGTTTTGGCAAGATGGATTTTTCTTTTTCCCCCGAGAGGTTGTTATACTGGATGCACAACTTTGACGTGCAATTTTAAATTACGTTCGCAAAGACTGTCCTGAGAAACTTCGTTGACCTTTCTGGCTTGAAGGAGACAATAATAATAATAATAATAATAATTAATAATAATAATAATAATAACAGACTGACAGGCACTTGGTCCACAACACACCTGACATAACAATAGTTGAAAAAGAAAAAAGTATGGTTCATTGACATTGCAATACCTGGTGATGCACGGATTGAAGATAAGCAGCAAGAAAAAATCACAAAGTACCGGGACTTGCAAATTGAAGTTGAGCGACTGTGGAAAAAGAAATTGTGTGTTGTCCCGATTGTAATTGGAGCCCTTGGAGCAATACCCAAAGGGTATTTAGAAATTCTAAATTTGCCGGACTTGAACATTTTGACTCTACAAAAAACCACCTTACTCGGAACAGCTTACATCCTCTGACGATACCTTAACAGTTCCTAGGTCCTTGGTTAGGACTCGAGCTGCTGAGCTATTAACCAGCCTCAAAGGCTGTGAATCTCACCAAAGATTTAATAATAATAATAATAATAATAATAATAATAATAATAATAATAATAATAATAATAATAATAATAATAATTTTATTTATATACCGCCCATTCTCCCGAAGGACTCAGGGCGGTGTACAGCCAGAATTAAAATACAAATATACAAATATACAATATCCTAGTTAATTTTTATTTCCTAGAAGAGGAAATAAAGACGCTTGTCATATTTGCAAGACGGCTGGCCGAAAGAAAGGCAGTCGGCGTGAAATGACGGTGGAAGGGAGTGCCACTGTCTGCCGCAAAATCTTGGGTGGTTCGAAACAAGCCAGATTTATATCTCTTTTATTTTCGGTGGCTTACAAAACAATAACAGAATAACACCAAGGAATAACACCTAGAGTACAGCATCCAGTTTTGGTTACCACGCTATTAAAAAAAGATGTTGAGACTCTAGAAAGAGTGCAGAGAAGAGCAACGAAGATGATTAGGGGACTGGAATCTAAAACATACAATGAACGCTTGCAGGAACTGGATATGTCTAGTCTAGTGAAGAGAAGGACCAGGGGAGACATGATAGCAGTCTTCCAATATTTGAGGGGCTGCCACAGAGAGGAGGAAGGGGGTCAAGCTATTTTCCAAGGCACCCAAAGGCCAGACAAGGAATAATAGATGGAAACTGACCATGGAGAGATTCAACCTAGAAATAAGGAGAAATTTTCTGACAGTGAGAGCAATCAACCCATGGAACAGAAGTTGCCTTCAGAAGTGGTGGGAGCTTCATCCCTGGAGGCTTTCAAGAAGAGAGTGGACTGCCATCTGTCAAAAATGGTGTAGGGTCTTCTTGGGTGGGGGGTTGGACTAGATGACCTACAAGGTCCCTTCCTTGATCTGTATCTAACAGAGTTGTGGAAGGGACTTTGAAGCTCATAAATGATCTGAAGAGTTTACAAAATTGTTAACACTCAAGAGTCGAACTGACCAAAGAAAACAGGAAACAGGGAAGCATTTCCGGAGATTCTCTCCGTTTCCCTTTAATGACAACATTTCAGGAAACCCAACTGGCTTGTTGATGGAAGGTTGAATCAGACTGTGAATGCTACTGTTTAAATAATGAATCTGATTATAAGACCATGTTACCTCTCAACCGTTTTTTGCAAGAAAAAAAAGCTCAGAGAAGCCTTGAGTTCCAGTCTGACACTGGCAGCTCTTTTGAAATTCAGAAAGCTGCTTGGTGATTTCAAAGTCCTACAAGAGGAAATTGTGGTAGTGACAAATATTTTTGTGGAATCAGAAGCACATGTCAACAAGGTTTGCCACGTAAGCAAAAATGCTTGCATGGTAACGCAGCGTTCATGTGGTCTAACTCCGATCAGTCAGAAGGGAGAAGAAACGAAACCAGAAGCAGTTTAATTAACTTTTAGATGAAGTTCCCGGTTGGTATCGGGGTTAGAACCAAAACACAAAACATTAGATCTGAAAAGATAGTCAGTGGCTGAAACAACTGTGTTATTCGGTGCTGGATTTTGCCCAGACAACAGGGCAGATCCTGCAGTAGTCTCAGCTGTATTCTAAAATAATAATAATAATAATAATAATAATAATAATAAATAATAATAATAATAATAAGTAAGAAAAAGAAGAAGAAGAAGAAGAAGAAGAAGAAGAAGAGAAGAAGCAGAAGAAAAAGAAAGAGAAAGAAAGAAAGAAAGAAAGAACAAAGAAAAGAAAGAAAGAAAGAAAGAAAGAAAGGTGAAGAAAGAAGAAAGAAAAGAAAAAATCACAAAGTACCGGGACTTGCAAATTGAAGTTGAGCGACTGTGGAAAAAGAAATTGTGTGTTGTCCTGATTGTAATTGGAGCCCTCGGAGCAATACCCAAAGGGCTATTTAGAAATTCTAAATTTGCCGGACTTGAACATTTTGACTCTACAAAAAACCACCTTACTCGGAACAGCTTACATCCTCCGACGATACCTTAACAGTTCCTAGGTCCTTGGTTAGGACCTCGAGCTGCTGAGCTATTAACCAGCCTCAAAGGCTGTGAATCTCACCAAAGATTAACTAATCATCATCATCATCATCATCATCATCATCATCATCATCATCATCATCTGTTGCTTAAAAGAGATTCTGATCCTTCCTTGAGTAGATGTTTCCAATCAACATTTTTGGGAGTGTTTAAGGGCACCTCCAAAGGCCCTCCTTTATCTCATTCTTTCTGGGCTTTAGGATACCACGTGTTCCGTGAGCCTTTGGCGTTAAGTCATGCCAGCCACATGACCACAGAGACGTCTTCGGACAGAGCTGGCTCTTCAGCTTTGAAACGGAGATGAGCACTGCCCCCTAGAGTCGGGAACGACTAGCACATAGCTTTACCTTTTTATGGCTGTAATATTGTTACAATTATTGATCCTTATTATCTTTCTTACTTTGATATTATCATCATTCAGTGGCCCTGCGTGTACGCAGAGAGCTTCTGCACCAGAGACAATTTCCTTTTGCGTCTAATCATACATCATCATTCAATTCAATTCAATTCAACGCTGAGAAGAAGAAAGGGAGGAAACCATGCAGAAATAGAAGGGACGGTGGATGTCTCTTACCCTTTTGATTGTCTTCTCCACCATGTGATTTCCAACCGGGATCATCACTCCTCCAAGGATAGCCAGCACTGCCCCGACGATTGCCACGGCCAGCAAGCCACAACGCTGGTTACACCACATCCTTCTTCACCCCGGTCGCCAAGACGTGGCGGCTGTTCCTCCTGCTACTTTGACCTCTTACGCGTCTCTTCTTCCGAAGTTCCCTCAAAATACGTATCGCGGAGATCGAAGCGGTCTGTCAAAAGAGATTGAAGTGCCAAATATAGCATCAAGAATTCCATGGCAAAAAAACAAACAAAAAACATCATTTTGTGCTGATAAAAACAAGCAATTTTTTTTAAAAAAGTCATTTAAAATAGCAAACACACAACGGAAGCCTGGTTAAATGGACAGAAGAGTTTGTAGATAGTCCTTGACTTACAAATGCAATTGGGACCTTTCATCACAGAGCAAAAGAGCAATAGCACTTAGACTTATATACCGCTTAACAGTGCATTTACAGCCCACTCTAAGTGATTTACAGAGTCAACCTATTGCCCCCAACAATCTGGGTCCTCATTTTACCGGCCTCAGAAGGATGGAAGGTTGAGTCGACCTTGAGCTGGTCAGGATCGAACTCCTGGCAGTGGGCAGAATTAGCCTGCAATACTGCATTCTAACCACAAGGAAGGAAGGAAGGAAGGAAGGGCGGGAGGGATAGCAATAGCACTTAGACTTATATACCACTTCACAGTGCTTTAAGAGCTCTACAATACTGCATTCTGATCACTGTGCCACCAGGAAGAAGAATGAGAAAGGGAATAAGGAAAGGAAAGGAAAGGAAAAGAAAGGAAAGAGGGAGGGAGGGAGGGAGGGAGGGAGGGAGGGAAGGAAGGAAGGAAGGAAGGAGGGGAGGGAAGGGAGGGAGGGAGGGAGGGAGAGAATGAGGGAGAGATAGCAATAGCAATAGCAATAGCACTTAGACTTATATACCACTTCACAGTGCTTTCCAACCCTCTCTAAGAAGTTTACAGAATCAGCCTCTTGCCCCCAACAATCTGGGTCCTCATTTTACCCACCTCGGAAGGACGGAAGGCTGAGTCAGCCTTGAGCCTGGTGAGATTCGAACTGCCAAATTGCAGGCAGCCGGCAGGCAGCAGAAGTAGCCTGCAGTACCGTACTCTAACCACTGCGCCACTGCGGCTCTGGTTAGAATGCAGTGCTAACTGCTCCTTAAGTGAGTCACTCTTGATTTCACCACCTTTTCTTAAATTTTATTTTGCCACAATTGCTGTGGTCAAATGACTCACATGAGTCATTAAGTGAATCCAGCTACCTCCACTGACTTTGTCAGAAGCTGGGAAGCCAAAAACATCATAAGTATATGGATCCCATGACTGTAGGGATGCTGTATTGGTCATAAACATGAGAACCAGTCATAAATCCCATTTTTCAGCATTGCCGTAACAGTTGTTAAAGATGCTCCTAAGCCAAGGAATACCAAAATGATTTTGTGTATATATGTGTGTGTGTGTGTGTGTGTGTGTATCCAGAAGGAAAAAGTCAGCAATAATTTCACCCTGAATGGTCTGTTTCTTCATGAAATAAACCCACATTTCAGTCAAGACGTGTCAGAGGGGAGGAAATTAATTGCAACCATTAGCTAGAAAAGCTTGATTGCATTCTATTTTTGGCCAATTTTAAACTTGGTCCCCAGCCAAACATAGGAACCTCCCACTCCACTGAGGAGCAAGGATGGAACAAAGGTCTCTCTCTCTCTCTCTTTCTCTCTCTCTCTTTCTCTCTCTCCACGTGGTTTCAAATGTATGTTTACAAACGTTTTTCATTAGCTGTTACTTCATTCTCCTTTACAAGAAGCATGTAGCTGCATTATTTGAATATTATTGCTCTGGAATACTATTTTCTCACGAATACCAATAGATGATAGAAGATGGAAAACAGAAGACAGAAAATGATAGATGGGTGGGTGGGTAGATAGGTAGGTAGATGGATGGATGGATGGATGATAGATAGATTGATTGATAGATAGATACATAGATAGATAGATCAACAGATAGATGATAGATAGATCAATAGATAGATAGATAGATAGATAGATAGATAGATAGATAGATAGATAGATGATGATGAAGATAAATTGATAGATTGATAGATGATAGATAGATAGATAGATAGATAGATAGATAGATAGATAGATAGATGATGAAGAACTATCTATCTATCTATCTATCTATCTATCTATCGGACAGACAGACAGACAGACAGACAAACAGACAGATAGATGATAGACAATGAAGATAGATAGATAGATAGGCAGGTAGGTAGGTAGGTAGGTAGGTAGGTAGGTAGGTAGGTAGGTAGGTAGATAGATAGATAGATAGATAGATAGATAGATAGATAGATAGATAGGCAGGCAGGCAGGCAGGCAGATCGATCGATCGATTGATCAGTTGAGAGCTCAGTTACTTCACTATCTGGTACAATCCATTTGGTCTATTTGCCACGTTGTCCTGCTTTTGCATTAACTTTTCGCTTGGGACGGTTGCATTTGTTTGCATTGTTAACAACCACCGGTCTGTGTAGGAGTACATGCTTGCCGTGTTCCTTTGAGATAATACAAACAATGCTTTCTTCATGGACCTACTTCAGCCTGCCAGGCTGGCCCTGCCAATTTAGACGTCAGGTTGGGAGATGAAGGTCATGTTGTGCCATCAATTGCAGCAAGAAAAGGTCCCATGACCTTCTAGAACAATTATGGGTAACTTGTGCATGTCAGGAGTTAAACATTATGGGCGGGAGAGAAAGATGATGCTCAGATTCTTACATAAGGCACAAGAAGTCATTGGATGGTCTCAACAATGTTTTTTATCTCGGGCAAAGAGCAGCCTTATCTAAACTGTCATCGCCCAGCCTGCATCTAACTGATACATGCCACAAAGAGGAGGTGAGGTGGGTCCGACTTATTTTCCAAAGCATCAGAAAGCAAGAAACAACAGATGGGAACTAACCAAGGAGAGAAGCAACCTGGAACTAAGGAGAAACTTCCTAACAATGAGGACAATGAACCAACAGAACATCTTGTCTTCAGAAGTTGTGGGTGTCATGCCTGGAAGCTATATTACCTGCGTGCCTTGAGGATCCAGGCCTGACACAATCATCCCGTGGGAAGTTGGGAGGGGAGGATTGCACGAGTGGAGTAGAGATAGCCATAACAAAACTCCTCTAAGAGAAGTTCAAGGCCATGGGGTCCGGCAGCTGTGCAAAGAAGAAATTGGAGGATGTCTTCTGTTCGGGAAAAGAACTGATTGGTGGTGTGTGGAGATGTGGGCAAGGTCTTGGACTTTCTTTTGGGTGGGGAAAACCCGGAAGTTTTCAGATTCGGCTTTTCCCAGATGTGCCAATATGACATCCCTAATAAAAGTTAGCTTTGAGGAACTTCAAGCTTTGGAGTTTGATTTCGTTGGGGGGGTCTTACTTGAAACCCTAACAGTGGGCTCTTCATCACTGGAGGTTTCTAAGAAGAGACTGGACAGCCACTTGTCTGAAATGGTATAAGGCAGGGATGGCTAACCTTTTTGCCATCACATGCCAAAAGCGGGGGGAGCGGGGGGGGTCACGGGTGCAGGTGCCCACATCCATAATTCAATACGCCCCACCATCCCGCGCATGCGCACGTGACCCCCCCCTCCACACTTCTCCCTGCTTTTGGCACGTGATGGCCCAGTGGGCCCGGTAAGCCCGTTTCCCCCCCCTCCCCAGGCTCCAGAGGCTTTCTAGGAGCCTGGGGAGGGCAAAAACAGTCTTCCCCATCCTCCCGGAGGCCTTCCAGAAGCCAGAAACAGCCAGTTTCCCGACTTCCGGTGGGACCGGAAGGCCTGAAAATCAGTTGGCCGGTGCACGCATGTGCGCTGGAGCTGAGCTAGGGCAACACTCGCGTGCCCACAGATATGACTCCACGTGCCACCTGTGGCACCCGTGCCATAGGTTCGTCATCACGGGTATAAGGTCTCCTGCTTGAGCAGGAGACTCAAATCTTAAAATCAGAAACATGATTTTAAGGGGTGGGGGAAGAAAGAAAACCCAGCAAAATCCAAGCAGCTAAACTATTTCAGTACTGCCTTTGGGACTCTTTGGAGAGACAAAGGGATGGGCCAAGGGTACACACCCAAAAGGCAACTGACAGCTGCCTTGTTTGTTTAGGAATATGGGCTCCCTTCCTTCCCGAAAACTGTGGGAGTTTGCAGGCTTCCACTTTGGCTGTCTGGGAAGAGTGGGATCTTTTCGTCATCCTGGAATCTGTCTACGGTGCCTCTCCTGGACTGGGTGTCTCGGCACATAGCAGGCTGGTGACTCATCCGGATGGAGCAAGGTTGGCCCCGAGGACTTCTGGAATAGGAAAAGACTGAGAAATCCTTGGGCCCTTAGGCTAGTCTGAAAAGTGTGGGGTTGGAGGGGGTGGTGGAGTGATCCGAGAAGGAAACCAGAGACTTCATGGAGTGTCAAGCTTGGACTAGAAGACCTTGAAGGACCCTTCTGTTATTCTGTTCAGCTCAACTTGGTGTCTTTTCCTTTTTCCTTTCCTCTCTTTCCTTGCCCGTCTCCTTTCCTTTCCCTTCATTTTTCCCATCTCCTCCTCCCCTCCTTTCCTTCACTTCTCCCCTTTCCTTCTCCCCTCCTCTCCACTCCTTCCCTTCTCCCCTCTTCTCCCCTCCTTTCCTTCTCTCCTCTCCCCTCCTTTCCTTCTTCTCTCCTTTCCTCTCCTCTCCTCTCCTCTCCCCTCCCCTCCTTCTCCTATCCCCTCCCCTCCTTTTCCTATCCCCTCCTTTCTTTCTCCCCTCCTCTCCTCTCCCCTCCTTTCCTTCTCCCCTCCTTTCCTTCTCCTTTCCTCTCCTCTCCCATCCTTCCCTTCTCACATCCTTTCCTTCTCCTCTCCCCTCCTTTCCTTCTCCTCTCCTCTCCCCTCCCATCCTTCCCTTCTCACATCCTTTCCTTCTCCTCTCCTCTCCCTTCCTTTCTTTTCCTTCTCCCCTCCCCTCCTCTCCCCTCCTTTCCTTCTCCTCTCTTCTCCCCTCCTTTCCTTTTCCCCTCCTCTCCCCTTCCCCTCTCCTTTTCCCCTTCCCTTTCACCCTTTCCCCTTCAACCTTCTCTGCCTGGCCCATTGTTAACTTTTCCCTAGTTTCATCAATATTCCTCTCAAATTCCACCCGTCCTCCAGTTC